TCACTTATAATTGCACAAGAGGTTTGTATTTTACCGAGTAAATTGGGGTTGTTTAGGTAATGAAAATCTGTTGCCTAGCAATTAGACGAGAAAAACTGTCAACTAATAAAAATGCGACACCGAAGGTGGAGCATTTTTAGGTTGACAGTTTTTCGAGTCCAATTGCTAAAAGGAAACAGATTTGAATTGCCACAACCCAAATTTACTCGGTTTAAATACAAACCTCGAGTGTAATTCGGCAGGACAATTTAACGAACAAGAAATTCACCAAATTAATCAATTATTGACAGACGTCAAACTAGTCATATGGGAAAGGATAATGCGATAATTCGAAAATGAATAAGTGAAAAAACCACTAGTGCATTTGTCGCTGGAAAAGTTGCAGGTAACTTTTGCCGCTGTCAAAGTGACAATTGCACTGCGGCTTATGCGATTTTTTATACATGAGTTGAATTGTCATATATAATACCATAAGTAGTCGAAGTATTGTCGAATATTTTTGAGGTGCTGTCACGAATGCTAGTTACGCTGAATAATACCACGAGCGCTTGCGCGAGTGGTATTAAAAAGCGTAACTAGCATGAGTGGAGCAGCAGCTCAAAAATAATCTACAAATACTTCGACTACGAATGGTATTCGGAGGACTATTCAATGAATCAAAAGAAAAATTAAGCATAATTACCCACGCGAATGTATTTCCATGACAACAATAAACGTCAAAATAAATTATGGAAGTTGCTTTTCATTTTGCTATTGATTCTATTCGAACTTTTGTGCTCCAAGCTAATTCGTTATGAGTGATTAAATTAAAAGATGTGGTGATAAGTCGGTTGTCGAAATTGATTAACAAACTAAGAAGAATGTTCCGGTTAATACGACAAAATTTCGCGTCATTTCACTGGTGGAAGTTTGACAAATGTCATTGAATAATCGCATTGAATTGTCGCTGAAATACCACACGTGAAATTATCACTTATAATTGCACAAGAGGTTTGTATTTTACCGAGTAAATTTGGGTTGTTTAGGTAATGAAAATCTGTTGCCTAGCAATTAGACGAGAAAAACTGTCAACTAATAAAAATGCGACACCGCAGGTGGAGCATTTTTAGGTTGACAGTTTTTCGAGTTCAATTGCTAAAAGGAAACAGATTTGAATTGCAACAACCCAAATTTACTCGGTTTAAATACAAACCTCGAGTGTAATTCGGCAGGACAATTTAACGAACAAGAAATTCACCAAACTAATCAATTATTGACAGACGTCAAACTAGTCATATGGGTAAGGATAATGCGATTATTGGTTCGAAAATGAATAAGTGAAAAAACCACTAGTGCATTTGTCGCTGGAAAAGTTGCAGGTAACTTTTGCCGCTGTCAAAGTGACAATTACACTGCGGCTTATGTGATTTTTTATACATGAGTTGAATTGTCGCTGAAATACCACACGTGCAATTATCACTATAATTCGTTCCCATTGGCGCAGCAATTTGAAATCGAGACATTTCACTGGTTGAAATGTGACAAATGTTAGATGAATTGAATAGTCAACAGTATCAATTAAGTGAAAATTTTTTGGAAATAATAGGTTCCGACATCGACATTGATACCTTTACGACTTTACAACTACTCAGATGTCTAGCTGGTCCTTTAGTGCACTTGAAATTTGTTCGGTAATTTATTTTGCGGATTATATTGTTTTTAAATCCGTCTGATGAATATCAACTACTCACTGAGATACCATTAAAATCTTTTGTTAGTTGTTATAACAAACACAAACAAGAAGAATATTCGCGATTCGCCTATTAATATATCTATGGATTCAGATTAACAGTGAGACCCCTGGTGGCAGAACATTGTAATTAATAGTGGTGGGATAAGACAGCCATTTTATTTATTTACAATGACCAATAGTATATTAAGTATGGAGAACGGTAAGGGATTTTTACCGTTCGAAGACAATTGTTTGGAGGAGGAGCGAAGCGACGACTCCAATTATTGTCTGAGAACGGTAACCCTTAACGTTCGACGTGCTTATAACATTTTTTGCGCGATCGAAATTAAAATTATCCAACCAATATAAATATGCACTAAGAAATGAACGAGCAGAATAAATCGAAATGATCAAAGTGGTATGGTGTACATCACTAGGCAACCAGTTTAAATGTCAAAATTGAAATTAATAATTCCATAAAAATGTGCATGTGTCTGATGTAGTTTACTAGCTTTGCACATCCTTTATGACTTTATGAGCGTCTTGCTATAGGAAACAACAGCACAAATTGTACGATTAATGTACCTAACAATAATTAAAGATTAAATGTAATGTAAGACTGTTGATTTTTAAAAAGGCGTCGGTAAGTATTTTTGCTGTTCTGTTTTTAGATCGGTAAGTAATTTTGGCGTCGTCGTAATCATAGCAACTGGTAAATTCTACGTACTGTCATGGAAACACCCATGGTAAATAGTCAGAAATGACCGATCGCGCAAAAAAGTAATCAATATTGCCGTTTTCATGGCTGTAATAGTTATTTACTACATAAAAGTCAGGAAAATGACACGTTACTGGCGAGGAAATATTGAAGTACAAGGCCGCTTTGGGGTCGAGTACTTTAATTTCCGAGTCAAGTAATGTCATCTTACTGACGAGTTTTGTATTAAATTTTACCCGAAATCTTATTTTAACATAAAATTTCAATTTTCATATAGAACTTTTGCTTAATGCCAATCTGTCATTGATGACAGGAGTCAATAGACATTTAGCAATGTGACAGGTGCGACAGGAAAAGTGACAAGTGCGGCCGGTAAAGTGACAGGCGGCAGGAAAAGTGGACTGGTCTGCCTCCGTCATGGAGACTAACATTTCCCTGACATAAAGTAGGCATGAAAATGAAGGTTTCATGACGATTTTGGGTAAAAGTAAAAATCACTTGCAAAAATTACACCTATCAAGGATACTTTGAAACGTCACATTTTATCACGTTACTTTCAAGAATTTTAAATGTGTGATCAGTGCAATTATGCAACCAACAATAAGGATAATTTAAGAAATCGTAGTCTAACGCATACTATGGTCCAAAGGCTTTAATTGTGAACCGTCAAACTACGGAAAATGATTAAGTTAAAGAATCTTCGTCTTACGTGTATATAGGGTACGTCATTCTTTGACACATTCGGTCAATAATTTTCTATCACTGCTATTTATGTAATTACGCTATAAATTAATAACGTTCGCTGAAGCGTCACCGTATTCATAATACACAAGTACAAATTGTGCACAACCCTTGTGAAGGTAAAGCGCATTTTTTTAAACACCCCTACGAAATTTCTTCCATAAATATGAAAGTTGACACTGCACATCCTACACAAAACCAAATTTGGAAAATGGCGCTACATTTGCTTTTATTCCAAGTGGCTATGTATCAAATTTTATGTAAATGCCCAATGGTTATATTTCTTCCAAACGTCCCAATCGCCCTTTTTAGGTACTCTCCATTGACAATTCACTCTTAAGATATAAGGAATTATAACCGATCACGACTAGGGATCGAGGA